TTTAATAGGATTGACGAGTAATTATCAATGAGATTAGACCAATATACGTACTCGGCCTCCCCCTATACTCGAATCCTGGCTCCGCCACTGCGGGTGATGGGAATCATGAGTGGGATAAGCTTTGAGTGGGGGAGCCTCGCTGGAGCATGTCAACGGTGACCCTGGAATGTGCCCGGTACATCGTCCACCCAATCTTTTTAAGCCGAAACCGTAGAACAATAGTTTTACGGTATTTTCCATTAATAACACAAAGAGTATAAAATATTTACAAAGAAAAGAACAACAAAAGAGCACTAAAACTACTCATCCAATTCCTTGCCTAGGGAACATGAGGAAACTATCGTATTGATATCGTGTACTCTACAATCATCATAGATGTGTAGTGGTCCATTCCTTGAATCTTTTCAAATATTTTGCTTTGATTCTACTCCCTCCGTTCCACAATGTAGTGCTTCCTCTATCTCCATGCTTCAACTTTGACCGTAAATTTAACTATCAAGACCAATTGCGGCGGGGGCAAAAATTATATCAGTGAATTCGTATTCGAAAAAAGTTTTCAATTATATAATTTTTTCTCCCGTCGCAGTTGGTCTCGTCGGTTAAATTTATGGTCAAAATTGGACCTCGGGAAGCGCGGGTGCACTATATTTTGGAATGGAGGGAGTATGTTACATTAGAACCAAGTCTTCTTTGAGCCAAAATTTTCAGCAGTTAATACTCAGTGTCCAAACTCGCCAGCATCCTTGAATAATGATATCCAGAGCTATTTTCTTGGGAAGTGCAGAGTGTAGGATCATAATGTCATCAAAACTTGATATTCCTAGTTTTCTGTTTGGAGCAGTGCACTCCCAACATTCTTGAGCAAAGGTATAATCCCAGAAGAGATGTCTCAAAGTTTCTTCAGATTGCTCATTAAATTAGACACAGTTGTAGCTGTCTAGATGCATATGTTTCCTTCTCAGCAAGTTTCTGTTGTTAAGTCTGTCATGAAGTAGAAGCCAAAAGAAAATCTTGTGTCTAAGTCTGTTGGAGGTCTTCGAGATCCATTTGAACAGGAAATTGCTTTCATTCTTGGGTCAAATAGCTTTATACATTTTAATTGAGGAGTAGTGTTGGCCTTGCCCCGTGCCCTTCCATTCATCATTTCTTTGATCACTCCAATGTGTATTGACAAGTCACAATACAAGTGTGTAAAAATATAAAAATAATTTAGCATGTCCCCATAACATAGACTTACTAGTATGACAAATAATCAAACGTAAACTTGAATAAAAACCTTAAGAAACAGAAATGATAAATTTAACACTGATCATGCTAATGGGCCAAATGTATGGCCCAATCTATAATGAGTACTATTCATAGCATGATTTTAGTTTCTGTTTCTAAAGTTGTAGGTCTAATTCAAATCTGAAATTTTGAGAAATAATATATGTATGTTTTGCGTACGTACTAAATTATTTTCCGATTTTTGAAACCATTGCAGAGCGAATTTAAGGTGATTGGTGGACCGGTAGCACCACATGGGTGGGTGCACCAGATGTTCGCTCAGAGGGCATGAGGTGGGGAAAAATATCTACCGGTGCACCGAACTCACATTGTGCTCTTCAAACGTTCAAAAAACTCTGAAAAAAATTAGCACACTCACACAAGACCAATGTAGGTTGTCACAAAATTTCAAGTCAAAATTCAAAACATAACTCGAAAAACAAAAATGACAAATCCAACACTGAATAGTACAAATATAACTTGTGCTTTAGATTTGGCCCATTATTACACTGATGTCAAATTTGTCATTTTTGTATCTCAGGAAATATTTCAATTTTTATATAAAATTTTATGACATCATACATTGATGTTACGTGAACGTGCTAGATTTTTTTTTCAGATTTTAAAAAATAATTTACGGCATCCGGTGCACCGGTAGCACCAGAAGTGCGGGTGCACCAGATACATTCCCATGAGGTGGAGCCAACTTGTTGAAAAAGCATACTGGTGCTTGTAGTCTTTGCTACCCAGTGTCCACGTTCCTGCATGCAAATGGCTTTAAATATGCGGCCATGCAGTGTTGTTTCCGACCGAGTTGAAGCATACCAGAACTGGTCATCCCCATCAGGCAATCACAAGAAGGGAGAGTTGATACGGATCCTTAGATGCTCCTATAATACGAGCTTTTAGGAGCCGTTGGATTTAAGGCTTACAACATTTTGCGACAAAAGACCTTTTGAAGTCTTAAAATTGCGAACAAGTACGACAAACTTTCAGAACCTACTAGGAGCCGTTGGATCTGAGATCCGACGGACCAGAAGCTCGTATCATGGTGAAGGAAATATGCCCTAGAGGCAATAATATCTCATCAAAACTTGATATTCCTAGTTTTCTGTTTGGAGCAGTGCACTCCCAGCATTCTTGAGCAAAGGTACAATCCCAGAGGAGATGTCTCAAAGTTTCTTCAGATTGCTCATTACAGTAGACACAGTTGTAGCTGTCCAGATGCATATGTTTCCTTCTCAGCAAGTTTCTGTTGTTAAGTCTGTCATGAAGTAGAAGCCAGAAGAAAATCTTGTGTCTAAGTCTGTTGGAGGTCTTCGAGATCCATTTGAACAGGAAATTGCTTTCATTCTTGGGTCAAATAGCTTTATGCATTTTAATTGAGGAGTAGTGTTGGCCTTGCCCCGTGCCCTTCCATTCATCATTTCTTTGATCACTCCGATGTGTATTGACAAGTCACGATACAAGTGTGTAAAAATATAAAAATAATTTAGCATGTCCCCATAACATATAACACCATATGACAAATAATCAAACTAAACTTGAATAACACCTTAAGAAACAGAAATGATAAATTTGACACTGATCATGCTAATGGGCCAAATGTATGGCCCAATCTAAAATGAGTAATATTCATGGCATGATTTTAGTTTTTGTTTCTGAAGTTGTAGGTCTAATTCAAACCTGAAATTTCGAGACATGATAGATGTATGTTTTACATACATACTAAGTTATCTTCAGATTTCTGAAACAATTGTAGAGCGAATTTTAGGCAATTGGTGCACCGATAGCACCACGTGGATGAGTGCACTAGATTTTCGCTCAGAGGGCATCAGGTGGAGCCAACTTCTTCAGAAAGCATAGTAGTACTTGTAATCGCTGCTACCCAGTGTCCACGATACCTGCATGCAAATGGCTTCAAAATGTGGCCATGCACATGCAGTGTTGTTTCCGACCGAGCTGAGGCATACCAGAACTGGTCATCCCCATCAGGCAATCACAAGAATAGTTGCAGCACCGAGCGCCGTACAGTGACGAAGAAGGCCGACCGGTTTGCCCCGGTGCGCGGTGCGGCAGCAGCAGCAGGTTGGTGCGATATCGAGTTGTGGAGCACGAAAGCACTCGCAGCAGGTCGGGCTGCACATGGATGCGCGTACTTACGAAAACGGTCTCTGGTGGCGGTGGCGGCCAGCGCGGAGACGCGTGCCCAGCCCATCCAAATTGCGTTTGTATCCATCTGAGCCAGTACAGAGCTAGGTACTAGTACGTACACAGCGGTACGCCTGGACCGATTTGTACTCCCTCCGGTCACTAGTAAGCATGCACGTGCAACGCACGTCTCAAACATAAACCAGGTGAGATTCACATAATATAAAAAAATAATTGTTTTTAAAAATATAAATCAAATGGATACGCAATGTTTGATGTCGCTCAAATTGTATTTTCAAAAATGAGACACAATAGTGGTTATGTTGCTTCATAGAGTAATAGCAGGAAATTATTCTCACTTAAATAAAATTAGCAATTATTTATTAATGCGGTAATATAGACTTGTAGTGTAGTCTTCTCTTTGAGTGTAGCCAGGAAAAAAATATAAACTGACTTACGGTGCAATCATATTGTTCAACATGCTTAATTCTTGAATCTTATTTTATTCTACTAATCTGCGTAGCAAAATATATACTTGTACTAATTTGGCTAAAATTATATATATTTTTTGGTTGTGTGGATTGCCAAAATTATATAGCCACCTACTCTGGATAATAGGAAATAGAAGATGATATGTGACTACAACGACTTCTATATAAAACAAAGATGATTTACAAGAACTAATTGAAATGTAAAAGGGCTAAAAGAAATCCAATAATTATCATGACAGAAAGTATTTATCCGGTTTTGTATGTGTTTATGCGTTGGAAACCGTACTAATTACAATGCTGTAAGGCGCTTTGTGAGTACAGAAACTGAAATGAGTTAGGAAGAAAAATAAAGATGGAAGGAACAGTATTCCAGAGTATTTGTCAAGGTTAACCTTATCAAGCTTTCAGGTCAGCTTGTAAATTACAAAAAACATGATGAATCCTCAAATAAGAAAGAGCCAACAATTTGGAACATGCTACAAAACTGGTGAAGATAGAAAGCATTCATCCTCTTTTTCCTTGTCGTAAGGGGTAGCTTCAGCATACATTTGTAATAGTGTAATAGCTGATCCGAAAAAAGTTATTCATTATTATTATTGGAGGAAAGAGGCGCGCAGACAAAGAAAAATAGGCGGTGCAAATAAGGCCTTAAACAGTATGTCTTCAAGTTTGTTGACTGCAGATATGTTGGAACATTTGAAACTGCACAAGTATATAAGAATAAATATATGTGGCAAAATAGCGGTATATGGTTTCTCTGTCATGAAACGAAATAAATCCAACTGACGTGCATGATGGCGGCAGGAGGCTCGCGATTAGCTTCCTAATAGGATGGATGCGTCCGAGATAAGTTTTTTAATATGATGGATTTGTCTGAGATTAGTTTCCTAATAGGATGGATGCACTCTGATTTAGTTTCCTAGAATATGATGCACCCGTGATTATTAGTTTCCTAATTTCCCAGGCGTGGAGTTTCATATTTTCCTCCACGGTGGAGTACGGTCAGTCAATGTAAATTGCTAAGTGCACACAGAAAATAGTTTAGGTTAAGACTAACCATTAGATTGATTTTAGTGGGTCTAATCGTGCGGTGGTATTGAATCTGTGTACGCTTTGTGGGGTGTGCTTAAAGAAGTTCTTGTTTGATTGTTTAATAGTAGTATAGATTTTTACTCTGCACATTGAATTTGCTGAAAGTCAAACTTTGTTAAGTTTGACCAAATTTATATTAAAAATTATTAGCATCTATAGTATCTAATAAATATAATATGAAAATTTATTCCAAGATGAATCTAATGATATTGATGTTGTTATGTGAATGTCTATAATTTTTTATATAAACTTGGTCAAAGTTGGATGAGATTAATTTCGGACAAACCTAATATGCAGCGTAAAAATGACCGGAGGGAGTACTACTACTACGGTGCAATCAAGCATTCAAGCCCGGACAGATTTGTTCATCGGCCCTGTTTGGATCTATGAGTTAGAGTTAGTTTGTGTTAGTTTGGATTTAAAGCTCTAAAACATTCAAACATGAAGGCTTGTTTGAGTTAATTACATCTAACCCTTCCAAAAAAACTATTCAATCAAGAGGTGCTAATTGAAGCTAGTAACTCTAACCTCTAACGTACTGCTCACATACCGAAGCAAAGACCACTCACGTACTGCTCAGAGCAAAAGCCGGTGAAACCCAGAGCCAAGGCGCCGCTTTTCGCCATGTTCCAAACCTTCGCACACCACACGCAAAGACGGAAGGAAAGCGAGGGCAAAGCGACGATGCCCCCGGTCGCGCTCCGCCTTTGTTCCCCAAAGCAGAGGACCGACCCTACCCTACCCCCCGTAGCCGCTCCATCGCCGGTGCTGGACGCCACGCGCACCGTGGTGCGCCGCGCACAGAGGCAGCCTCTCAAGGCAACCATGCACTCTCGTCAACCGGCCAATCACCCAGCGCAGTGCGCCTCAAATCACGTTACGTGCGTTCAGATTATTGGCACAGTGCTCAGACGATCACGACGACCGGCAGCCCAGCCGAGCGCTATAAGTACACTGTTCTCCAGTGTCTCTCTCTGCCACTGAGCTCGACCGCATCCGTCACTGAAGCCGCTCTACGACTGAGTGTGCACTGCTTTGTCGTGGTAGCTGAGTTGTTGAGAGGACCGGGATGGGATTCTTGTTGGCCGCCAGGAGCTACGTCGCTGCTGCTGCCCTCCTCTGTGTGGTTCTTCCATGCCACGCGAAGCTCTCGCCCAGGTTCTACGCCAGGACGTGCCCCAACGTGGAGGCCATCGTGCGGTCGGTGATGGCGCCGGCCGTCGCCGCGGAGCCGCGGATGGGCGCGTCCATCATTCGGCTCTTCTTCCACGACTGCTTCGTCAACGTGAGCCCGTCGCATTTCTCCTCGGCTCCACCTCGCTGGCTAGCTAGCTCCCTGAGCTTGACTGACGCGTGCGTATGTTTGTTTGCGCAGGGATGTGACGCGTCGATCCTCCTGGACGACACGCCGGCCTTCACCGGCGAGAAGAACGCCGGCGCGAACGCCAACTCCGTCCGCGGGTACGAGGTGATCGACGCCATCAAGGCGCGCGTCGAGGCGGCCTGCAAGGCCACCGTCTCCTGCGCCGACATCGTCGCGCTGGCAGCTCGCGACGCCGTCAACCTGGTGAGCGAGCGCACGTCCCGGTCCGCCGGCGGCGCACCTTACATCACAGCTCGCCATTGTGTCGCTAACGCGAAGTGACGTGCGCGGCATGCATGCAGCTCAGGGGCCCGACGTGGAACGTGCCGCTGGGCCGGAAGGACTCGCGCACGGCGACGCAGAGCGCCGCCAACGCGAACCTCCCGGGGCCCGGCGCCAGCGCCGCGTCGCTCGTGTTGGCGTTCGCGGCCAAGGGGCTCTCGGCGCGCGAGATGACGGCGCTCTCCGGCGCGCACACCGTGGGGCGGGCGCGCTGCGCCCTCTTCCGCGGCCGCATCTACGGGGAGCCCAACATCAACGCCACCTTCGCGGCGGCGCGGCGGCAGACGTGCCCGCAGGCCGGCGGGGACGGCAACCTCGCGCCGTTCGACGACCGGACGCCCGACGCGTTCGACAACGCCTACTACGCGAACCTGGTGGCGCGGCGCGGGCTGCTGCACTCGGACCAGGAGCTGTTCAACGGCGGGTCGCAGGACGCGCTGGTGAGGAAGTACAGCGGCAACGGCAAGATATTCGCCGGCGACTTCGCCAAGGCCATGGTCAAGATGGGGGGGCTCCTGCCGGCCGCCGGGACGCCCACGGAGGTCAGGTTGAACTGCAGGAGGGTTAACTAGGGATGGTTAACGATTGCCTGTCATCACACACAATTTATTATATTGTGTATAGTTAGTCTTCTTCAGCAAAATGAATTGCGCAGTGCATACACTTTTTCTGACTGAAACAGAGGAGAAGACGCTACTAAAGAAAAGCATGTCGAAGGATACGCCTGTCAAAAGTGAAAACGCGTACCTTGGTGCTCCAGCAATTTGTGTGGGTAGCTGCCCTGGTTATCACTTGTCGGTGAGCTCGCACTAGTGGCAGAGGGCACTGCATTGCCTGCGGATGAGAGTCTGTCGTCAACCTTTGCTAATGAGCAGCACCTGCAAGAGTTCTACTAGTAGTACCTTTCTTGAGCTACCTTTGCACGTTTCCTTGGGCACGTAGCTTCTTCAGGTAATGAGTGCTGTAAAACCGTTTTCCCCGTAAAACAGAAAGTATTGCGAAAAGTTTTGACTGTGTCAAAGCGCCCCCGGTTTTTATCCCACCCCCGAATAGTCTATTCAGAATTTGAATGGACTAAAAGCTTGTAGCACACGAGCTAATGTACAAAGTTAACCACTGATTTCCGCTCGCCAAGCTTAACGAGCTTTTTCCGTGAAGAGAACCTAACGAGACTAACAGACAAGCTAATGAGTTTCATGAGCATTCATTAAACTCGTTAGTACCACACAACACATATCATTGTTTTAAAGCGTCAATGTTTGTATGGCATCTCAAGTTCATAACCCATCAATTTAATTCAATGAACCAAATATGAGACAGCAAACTAGCGCACCCAATCATGTAGTCAGAATCCTCCTTCCTAAAAATCATACCCACACTCTCGAAAGCTCAAGATTGAGAGGGCATTCCTTTGGCCCGGTTCGGATAAGAGGACCGTGCGAAGTGCAAGGTCAACTAGAAGGTGGCTTGCCGTCCTACGGAGTACCGCGGCCTCCAAGTTCTCAACATTGAAAATTTTGTCCGTGCATTAGGGCTAAGATGGTCATGGTATGAATGGAAGAAGCCAAACAAATTATGGGTGGGACTTGATAACCCATACAATGGCGCCAAAACATCTTTATGGGATTCCCTATGGCTACTTGGGCGGACGCCAAGGATATTGCTCCACAAATTTTTGAGGCCTCGAGCAGAGATAATTGGAAAGTACGGGAGGCTCTCAACGGGAATGCTTGGATACTTAAGACTAATCATGACACTGTCATCTTCGGTGCCCACATCCGCGAATTCTTCATCTTTGGATGCTTGTGCGCGACTTTCATCTTGATGAGCAAACCGAGATGAAACTGTTTGAAAGCATTAGAACGATGGGATCTACTCGGCAGCCACTACATATAGGGCTCAATTGCTGGGATTGATGCTCTCCCCATGGACTTTATGGTTTTAAAAGTTTGGGCCCCTCCCAAAGTTAAATTCTTCGCATGGTTGGCTCTTCAAGATCGGATTTGGGCCGCGACCGGTTGGAGAAGCGCGGTTGAGAGGATTGAGGCATTTGCCCCTTTGCAAAACTGAACAGGAAACGGGCCCACACCTCTCATCCTATGATACGATTCAAGTGGTGTTGAGACGATTTTTGGGTTGGCCTGATCTTTCACCACGCGCCAACTGTTGTACTAGTAGAAGCAATCTTGCAGGAAAAAGAAAACGCAATGGATCTTGTTGGAATCGGAAGAGATTGTGGATGTGTACGTGGAGGAGACTAGTAGCATACTAGATGGATGAATGGATTGTAGAGATGAATAGCGGCCGGAAGATGTACGTGGTAGTAGTAGTACTAGTATAGATTCAGGGGATTAAGCTAATACCTATTAGCAGCGGCGATGACAATGAAGTAATTAGCAGATGGATAATAAGCACTAGTAGAAGTATATGGAGAAGAACAGGAAGCTAGATCGACCCTTGTAGATCAAGAATCAAACCGAGACTTGCGCCTTGACGATCGACGTCGCCCAAACACATGCAATGATCAAACCCTGATTAGGGAACGCATGGGCACAGATACGCGGGCATCGCTAGATGCATGTTCTGAGTATTTTTGCCAAAACTAAAACCTAACTTTTACATGGCCATATGACCTTTTTTATAGGTGCATGCAGGCAACTTGGGCTAAGCCCGACTCACATCACGACACGGACGGGGCTCAACGAAAATACAAGAAAACACTCAACAGGATAAAAAACACACACCATAATAAAACTAGGAGACCTTCACGTAAGCTTGTTTTTCTGGCTAAACTTGCAGTAGTTGTTTGGGGTTCTAAAGCAAGGCTCCACTTCATCCGAAGGGATTAAATTAGCTGGCATCTCTTCAATTACAACCCTGGTGATACTTGGATCCCTGAATATTGGCTTTTGCATGCCTTGGTTAGTACGTGAGCAAGGTAGGGAGCCTAATATACCTCTTTGATTTGTTGAATGTGACACCCTCCTTTGACGTAGAGCCGGAACCACATACTTCTGCATCGTTTTTCCATAGCCAGCCTCTGGCCTAGAAAATATTTTACTTGGCAGTAATGGAGGAACCACAAGAGTACTTGCGGTGTCCGTATCATCCTCTCCCCCTTCAAGCAAAACGGTCCTCAGTTTCGGTGCACTCTTCAAAATCTCCTTGTTTTCAAACACATGATCACTCTTTATTGCATTGTTACCCATGGGCTGCAGCACACGTCTGATGCCAACATCTCGAAACACATAAGTGTTGGATCTCCCCTCATGTATAGCATGGTGATCATATTGCCACGGTCGACCCAATAGCAACTCACACACATCCATTAGCACAACATCGCAAATCACCTCATCATAATATGTGCCAATATTGAACTTTACACGTACCTTGTGAGTCACCTTCAGATGTCCGGAGTTGTACAACCACTCAATGCAATGTGGCTGCGGATGTGGCCATGTCTTCAATCCTAAAGCATCCACCACACGCTTGCTTATGATGTTGGTGTAGCTCCCTCCATCAATAATCAACTTGCAATACTTGTTGTTGATTCGACATTGTGACTGAAAATTTTTCCACCGTTGTCCCGAGCTTGGAATTTGATCCTCTTTAGCTCGTTGCACCATGATGCATGGCAGATCACATGATAGGATTAGATTCACTTTCCCCTTCCTTGGGCTCATCAGACTCTGGGGCGGTTTTGTCTTTGGAAACATATCCATCATTAACAAGGAGCACTCTCTTATTGTTCGGACAATCAATGCGTCTGTGTCCCCTACCTCCACATCTGTAACACACAATCTCACTAGTACGCATAGCAGACTGCGCACTTGAATCAGCCCTTGAAGCCACTTTGCTCGCGGCCATAGATTCTTTGCTCATCTCCTTGTGATCGGTAGCAGCTGACCTATAGGATGAAACTGGCTTGACATTATCATCGTCATGCGAATAGGAACGTCGCCCCTGATGACCCACAAGTATAGGGGATCTATCGTAGTCCTTTCGATAAGTAAGAGTGTCGAACCCAACAAGGTGCAGAAGGAAATGATAAGCAGTTTTCAGTAAGATATTCTCTGCAAGCACTGAAATTATCGGTAATAGATAGTTTTGTGATAAGGTAATTGGTAACGAGTAACAAGTGTAAATAAAGTGCATAAAGATGGCCCAATACTTTTTGTAGCAAAGGACAAGCCTGGACAAACTCTTATATGAAGGAAAGCGCTCCGGAGGACACATGGGAATTATCGTCAAGCTAGTTTTCATCACGATTATATGATTCGCGTTCGGTACTTTGATAATTTGATATGTGGGTGGACCGGTGCTTGGGTACTGCCCTTACTTGGACAAGCATCCCACTTATGATTAACCCCCATTGCAAGCATCCGCAACTACAACAGAGGTATTAAGGTAAACCTAACCATAGCATGAAACATAATGATCCAAATCAGCCCCTTACGAAGCAACGCATAAACTAGGGTTTAAGCTTCTGTCACTGTAGCAACCCATCATCTACTTATTACTTCCCAATGCATCCCTCTAGGTCCAAACAATGATGAAGTGTCATGTAGTCGACGTTCATATGACACCACTAGAGGGATGCCAACATACATCTCATCAAAATATCGAACGAATACCAAATTCACATGACTACTAATAGTAAGACTTCTCCCATGTCCTCAGGAACAAATGTAACTACTCACAAAGCATATTCATGTTCATAATCAGAGGGGTATTAATATGCATAATGGATCTGAACATATAATCTTCCACCAAGTAAACCAACTAGCGTCAACTACAAGGAGTAATCAACACTACTAGCAACCCACAGGTACCAATCTGAGGTTTGGATACAAAGATTGGATACAAGAGATGAACTAGGGTTTGAGATGAGCTGGTGCTGGTGAAGATTTTGATGGAGATTGACCCCCTCCCGATGAGAGGATCGTTGGTGATGACGATGGCGATGATTTCCCCCTCCAGGAGGGAAGTGTCCCCGGCAGAACAGCTCCGCCAGAGCCCTAGATTGGTTCCGCCAAGGTTCCGTCTCATGGCGGCGGAGTTTCGTCCCGTAAGCTTGCTTATGATTTTTTTCTCGGACGAAAGACTCCATATAGCAGAAGATGGGCATCGGAGGGCCACCAGGGGGCCCAGGCAGGGGGCGCGCCCCCACCCTCGTGGATGGTGGGTGGCCCCCTTTGGTACTTCTTGCGCTCAGTATTTTTTACATATTCTGGAAATAACTTCCCTGAAGTTTCAGGATTTTTGGAGCTGTGCAGAATAGGTCTTTAATATTTGCTCCTTTTCCAGTCCAGAATCCCAGTTGCCGGCATTCTCCCTCTTCATGTAAACCTTGTAAAATAAGAGAGAATAGGCAAAAGTATTATGACATAATGTGTAATAACAACCCATAATGCAATAAATATTGATATAAAAGCATGATGCAAAATGGACGTATCAGCCCCATGCTGAAATTGGTGCGGCCTTTGGAAACTTGCTTTGCTTTGACCCACTGTTCGGCACGCTCTGCTTGATGAAGAAGCTCTTGCATATCATTATACTGCATCAAATCAACACGATCGCGTATATCCTCATTCAGCCCCTCAAAGAAACGTGTCATTGTTGCATCATCAGACGCATGCACATTAGTTCTGATCATCAGAACTTGCATCCGTTGGTAAGTCATGGCTCCTTGAACAAGACGTCGAAGCTTTGTGTGTTGCTCCTTCTCGAAATAAGCTGGCACAAAGCAAGCACGCATTGTACGCTTCATCTCATGCCACGATTCTGGTCGTGCATCATTGCGGTTGAGTTGATCCCACCAAATTAATGCATAACCTAAAAATTCAAGAGAAGCAAATTGAATCTTCCGCTCCTCGGAGTAACGGTGGTTATAAAAAATCTGCTCCACATGCATCTCCCACTCAAGATACTCCTCAGGACCGGCCTTGCCTGTGAACGAAGGTATAGTATTTTTTATTCTACCAATACCTCCGTCCTCGTCCTCATCGCGGCGCCGCCTTGGTCCATCATCACGGGGACGAGCATCCTGTCATGGTCCGTGAGCCAAGTCGCCACGAGCATCAGAATCATCCTCGGACTCAGCATCATTATCGTCATTGGCAACGTCCGCGTCACGGACATGTCGAGGTGCTCGCTGCTGCAGGGCATGTTGTGCCCTTGCTGGAGCAGTCGCGCCGTTGCCCTTGCCTCTAGGAGACGGAGGGCTGCCTGCATGGCCTGGAACCCGTCGGTCACTGTCTCGTCGTGGGCCTTCATGCAGTTGTCGAAGTGCTGATATGTAGCCTTGAACATAGCACGGACAACTGGGTCCAGATCGGGACCATATTGCAGCGGCCCGTCATCCTCCTGCACCTCATCCTCGTCACACTTACTTGCGGTTGACATCATGCACAGTGATAAACCTCGCACTCTCTGATACCAGTGCTACCTCTTGAGCACTGCGTTGGTTTTCCCTTAAAGAGGAAAGGGTGATGCAGTAAAGTAGCGTAAGTATTTCCCTCAGTTTTTGAGAAGCAAGGTATCAATCCAGTAGGAGATCACGCTCAAGTCCCACGCACCTACGCAAACAAATAAGAACCTCGCAACCAACACGATAAAGGGGTTGTCAATCCCTTCACGGTCACTTACGAGAGTGAAATTTGATAGATATGATAATATAATATTTTTGGTATTTTTATGATAAAGAGAAATAAAGATGCAAAGTAAAATAAACGTCAAAAGAAATAACTAAGTGTTGGAAGATTAATATGATGGAAGATAGACCCGGGGGCCATAGGTTTCACTAGTGGCTTCTCTCAAGAGCATAAGTATTACAGTGGGTAAACGAATTACTATCGAGCAATTGATAGAATTGAGAATAATTATGAGAATATCTAGGTATGATCATGTATATAGGCATCACATCCACGACAAGTAGACCGAAACGATTCTGCATCTACTACTATTACTCCACACATCGACCGCTATCAAGCATGCATCTAGAGTATTAAGTTCATAAGAACATAGTAATGCTTTAAGTAAGATGACATGATGTAGAGGGATAAACTCATGCAATATGATATAAACCCCATCTTTTTATCCTCGATGGCAACAATACAATACGTATCGGTTCCCATTCTGTCACTGGGATCGAGCACCGCAAGATTGAACCCAAAGCTAAGCACGTCTACCATTGCAAGAATGATCAATCTAGTAGGCCAAACCAAACTGATAATTCAAAGAGACTTGCAAAGATAAACCAATCATACATAAAAGAATCCAGAGAAGATTCAAATATTGTTCATAGATAAACTGGATCATAAACCCACAATTCATCGGATCTCGACAAACACACTGCAAAAGAAGATTACATCGAATAGATCTCCAAGAAGATCGAGGAGAACTTTGTATTGAGATCCAAAGAGAGAGAAGAAGCCATCTAGATAACAACTATGGACGCGTAGGTCTGAAATAAACTACTCACACATCACCGGAGAAGCCATGGAGTTGATGTAGAGGCCCTCCGTGATCAATGCCCCCTCCGGCGGGGCTCCGGAAAAGGCCCCAAGATGGGATCTCTCGGGTACAGAAGGTTGCGGTGGTGGAATTAGGTTTTCGCGGTGCTCCTGGATGTTTGGGGGTACGTGGATATATATAGGAGGAAGAAGTACGTCGGTGGACCAATGAGGGGCCCACGAGGGTGGAGGGTGCGCCCAGGGAAGGTAGGCGCGCCCCCCTGCCTCGTGCCTTCCTCGATCGTTTCTTGACGCCCACTCCAAGTCTCCTGGATCACGTTTGTTGAGAAAATCACGTTCATGAAGGTTTCATTCCGTTTGGACATCGTTTGATATTCCTTTTCTGCGAAACCCTAAAATAAAGCCCATTAACATCCAAAATAGATAATATAATAGCAATTTGGGCTCGGCCTCCGGTTAGTAGGTTAGTCCCAAAAATGATATAAAAGTGTAAAATAAAGCCCATTAACATCCAAAATAGATAATATAATAGCATGGAGCAATCAATAATTATAGATACGTTGGAGACGTATCAAGCATCCCCAATCTTAAGTCCTGCTCGTCCTCGAGTAGGTAAATGATAAAAGAAGAATTTTTGATGTGGAATGCTTTCTAACATATTTCTCAATGTAATTTTTCTTTATTGTGGCATGAATGTTCAGATCCGAAAGATTTAAGATAAAAGTTTAATATTGACATAAAAATAATAATACTTCAAGCATACTAACTAAGCAATCATGTCTTCTCAAAATAACATGGCCAAAGAAAGTTATCCCTACAAAGTCATATAGTCTGGCTATGCTCTATCTTCACCACACAAAATATTTAAATCATGCACAACCCCGATGACAAGCCAAGCAATTGTTTCATACTTTTGATGTTCTCAAACTTTTTCAATCTTCACGCAATATATGAGCGTGAGCCATGGATATAGCACCATATGTGGAATAGAATGGTGGATGTGGAGAAGACAAAAAGGAGAAGATAGTCTCACATCAACTAGGCGTATCAATGGGCTATGGAGATGCCCATTAATAGATATTAATGTGAGTTAGTAGGGATTGACATGCAACGGATGCACTAGAGCTATAAGTGTATGAAATCTCAACAAAAGAAACTAAGTGGGTGTGCATCCAACTCGCTTGCTCATGAAGACCTAGGGCATTTTGAGGAAGCCCATCCTTGGCATATACAAGCCAAGTTCTATAATGAAAAATTCCGACTAGTATATGAAAGTGATATCATAGGAGACTCTCTATCATGAAGATCATGGTGCTACTTTGAAGCACAAGTGTGGAAAAAGGATAGTAGCATTGTCCCTTCTCTCTTTTTCTCTCAATTTTTTTGGGCCTTCTTTTTTTTGGCCTCTTTTTTTCGTCCGGAGTCTCATCCCGACTTGTGGGGGAATCATAGTCTCCATCATCCTTTCCTCACTTGGGACAATGCTCTAATAATGTTGACCATCACACTTTATTTACTTACAACTCAAGAATTACAACTCAATACTTAGAACAAAATATGACTCTATGTGAATGCCTCCGGCGGTGTACCGGGATGTGCAATGATGCATGAGTGACATGTATGAAGAATTATGAACGGTGGCTTTGCCACAAATACGATGTCAACTACATGATCATGCAAGCAATATGACAATGATGAAGCGTGTCATAATAATGGAGCGATGGAAAGTTGCATGGCAATATATCTCGGAATGGCTATGGAAATGCCATAATAGGTAGGTATGGTGGCTGTTTTGAGGAAGGTATATGGTGGTTGTATGATACCGGCGAAAAGTGCGCGATATTAGAGAGGCTAGCAATGGTGGAAGGGCGAGAGTGCGTATAATCCATGGACTCAACATTAGTCATAAAGAACTCACATACTTATTGCAAAAATCTATTAGTTATCAAAACAAAGTATTACGCGCATGCTCCTAGGGGGATAGATTGGTAGAAAAAGACCATCGCTTGTCCCCGACCGCCATTCATAAGGAAGACAATCAATAAATAAATCATGCTCCGACTTCATCACATAACAGTTCACCATATGTGCATGCTACGGGAATCACAAACTTCAACACAAGTATTTCTCAAATTCACAACTACTCAACTAGCATGACTCTAATATCACCATCTCCATATATCAAAACAATTATCAAGTATCAAACTTCTCCTAGTATTCAATGCACTTCTATGAAAGCTTTTATATTAAAGCAAATTTCCATGTTATTCTAAAGGACTCTCAAAATAATATAAGTGAAGCATGAGAGATCAATTATTTCTATAAAATAAAACCACCGCCGTGCTCTAAAAGATATAAGTGAAGCACTGGAGCAAAAACTATATAGCTCAAAAGATATAAGTGAAGCACATAGATTATTCTAATAAATTTCAAATCATGCGAGTCTCTCTCAAAAGGTGTGTACATCAAGGATGATTGTGGTAAACTAAAAATAAAAGACTCAAATCATACAAGATGCTCCAAGCAAAACACATATCATGTGGTGAATAAAAATATAGCTCCAAGTAAAGTTACCGATAGACGAAGACGAAAGAGGGGATGCCTTCCGGGGGATCCCCAAGCTTAGGCTTTTTGGTGTCCTTGAGTTTTACCTTGGGGTGCCATGGGAATCCCCAAGCTTAGGCTTTTTCCACTCTTTGTTCCATAATCCATCAAATATTTACCCAAAACTTGAAAACTTCACAACACAAAACTCAAAATAGAAAATATCATGAGCTCCGTTAGCGAAAGAAAACAAAACACCACTTCAAGGTACTGTAATGAACTCATTATTTATTTATATTGGTGTTAAACCTACTGTATTCCAACTTCTCTATGGTTTATAAACTCTTTTACTAGCCATATATTCATCAAAATAAGCGAACAACACACAAAAAACAGAATATATCAAAAACAGAATAGTCTGTAGTAATCTGTAGCTAACACAACTTCTGGAACCCCAAAAATTCTAAAATAAATTTTTGTACATGAGGAATTTATCTGTTAATCATATTCAAAAATAATTAAATAAATATCACTTTCCAAATAAAAATGGCAGCAATCTCGCGAGCTCTAAAGTTTCTGTTTTTACAGCAAGATCAAAAAGACTTTCCTCAAGTCTTCCCAACGGTTCTACTTGGCACAGACACTAATTAAACACAAAAAATGCAACCAAAACAGGGGCTAGGTAAATTATTTATTATTAAAAAGGAGCATAAATCAAGGAATAAAAATAAAATTGGGTTGCCTCCCAACAAGCGCTATCGTTTAACGCCCCTAGCTAGGCATAAAAGCGAAGATAGATCTAGGTATTGCCATCTTTGGTAGGCAATCCATAAGTGGCTCTCATAATAGATTCATATGGTAATTTAAATTTATTTATAGGGAAGTGTTCCATGCCTTTCTTTAATGGAAATTGGAATTTAATATTCCCTTCCTTCATATCAATAACTGCACCAATCGTTCTAAGGAAAGGTCTACCAAGAATAATAGGACATGAAGGATAGCAATCTATATCAAGAACAATGAAATCTACGGGCACATAGTTCCTATTTGCAACAATAAGAACATCATTAATTCTTCCCATAGGTTTCTTAATAGTGGAATCCGCAAGGTGCAAGTTTAAAGAGCAATCATCAAAATCACGGAAACCTAGCAAATCACACAAAGTTTTTGGAATCATGGAAACACTAGCACCCAAATCACACAAAGCATAACACTCATGATCTTTAATTTTAATTTTTATTGTAGGTTCCCACTCATCATAAAGTTTTCTAGGGATAGAAACTTCCAACTCAAGTTTTTCTTCATAAGATTGCATCAAAGCATCAACGATATGTTTAGTGAAAGCTTTATTTTGACTATAAGCATGAGTAGAATTTAGCACGGATTGCAACAAGGAAATACAATCTATCAAAGAGCAATTATCATAAATAAATTCCTTGAAATCCAAAATAGTGGGTTCATTGCTATTTAAAGTTTTAACCTCTTCAATCCCACTTTTAACAATTTTTGCATCAAGATCTAAAAATTCCGAATTTTTGGAACGCCTTCTAGGTAAAGGTGGCTCATCTTCAGTCCCATCATTATCAAGATTCATATTGCAAAACAAGGATTTAATAGGGGACACATCAATAACTTTTATATCTTCATCATTATTATCATGAAAACTAGAAGAACACGCTTTCACAAAGCAATCTTTCTTAGCATGCATCCTAGCGGTTCTTTCTTTGCACTCCTCAATGGAAATTCTCATGGCTTTGAGAGACTCATTGATATCATGCTTAGGTGGAATAGATCTAAGTTTCAAAGAATCAACATCAAGAGAAATTATATCACGTTCCTAGCCAACTCATCAATCTTAAGCAATTTTTCTTCAATCAAAGCATTGAAATTCTTTTGTGAACTAATAAATTCTATAATATTAGATTCAAAATCAGAGGGTATCTTATTATAATTTCCATAAGAATTTTTGTAGGAATTACCATAATTATTAGAGGAATTACTAGGAAACGTCCTAGGATTAAAATTACCTCTATAGCGTTATTACCAAAATTGTTCGTACCGGCAAAATTCACATCCATAGATTCATTATTATTCTCAATCAAAGTAGACAAAGGCATATCACTAGGATCAGTAGGAGCACTCTTATTAGCAAACAATTTCATAAGTTCACCCATCTTTCCACTCAAAACATTAATCTCTTCTATTGCATGCACTTTTTTACTGGTAGATCTTTCGGTATGCCAAAACAACAACAACAACAACAACAACAAAGCCTTTAGTCCCAAACAAGTTGGGGTAGGCTAGAGGTGAAACACATAAGATCTCGCAACCAACTCATGGCTCTGGCACATGGATAGCAAGCTTCCACGCACCCCTGTCCATAGCTAGATCTTTCGGTATGCCATTGAGAATAATTAACCATAATATTGTCTAGGAGTTTAGTAGCTTCTCCTAAAGTGATTTCCATAAAAGTGCCTCCCGCGGCCGAATCTAAAAGATTTCTAGAAGCAAAATTCAATCCGGCATAAATTTTTTGTATAATCATCCAAAGATTCAAACCATGTGTAGGGCAATTACGTATCATTAACTTCATCCTCTCCCAAGCTTGTGCAACATGTTCATGATCAAGTTGCTTAAAATTCATAATATCGTTTCTAAGAGAGATGATCTTAGCGGGAGGAAAATACTTAGAGATAAAAGCATCTTTGCGCTTATTCCATGAATCAATACTATTTTTAGGCAAAGACGAAAACCAAGCTTTAGCACGATCTCTAGGCAAAAACGAAAATAGCTTAAGTTTAACAATATCATTATCCACATATTTCTTATTTTGCATATCACACAAATCAACAAAGTTGTTTAGATGGGTAGCGGCATCTTCACTAGGAAGGCCAGAAAACGGATCTTTCATGATAAGATTCAGCAAAGCAGTATTAATTTCACAAGATTCAGCATCGGTAAGAGGAGCAATCGGAGTGCTAATAAAATCATTACTATTGGTATTGGCAAAGTCACACAATTTGGTATTATATTGAGCCATCGTGACAAGCGAGCAATCCAACACACAAGCAAACAAGAAACAGGCAAAAAATCAAATAGAAAAAGAGAAGGGGAACAAAAAAAGAGAGCAAATAAAACGGCAAGGGTGAAGTGGGGGAGAGGAAAATGAGAGGCAAATGGAAAATAATGTAATGCGGAGGATAAGAGTTGTGATGGGTACTTGGTATGTCTTGACTTGGCGTAGATCTCCCCGGCAACGGCGCCAGAAATCCTTCTTGCTACCTCTTGAGCATTGCGTTGGTTTTCCCTTGAAGAGGAAAGGGTGATGCAGTAAAGTAGCGTAGGTATTTCCCTCAGTTTTTGAGAACCAAGGTATCAATCCAGTAGGAGATCACGCTCGAGTCCCACGCACCTACACAAACAAATAAGAACCTCGCAACCAACGCGATAAAGGGGTTGTCAATCCCTTCACGGTCACTTACGAGAGTGAAATCTGATAGATATGATAAGATAATATTTTTGGTATTTTTATGATAAAGAGAAATAAAGATGCAAAGTAAAATAGACGGCAAAAGAAATAACTAAGTATTGGAAGATTAATATGATGGAAGATAGACCTGGGGGCCATAGGTTTCATTAGTGGCTTCTCTCAAGAGCATAAGTATTACGGTGGGTACACGAATTACTGTCGAGCAATTGATAGAATTGAGAATAATTATGAGAATATCTAGGTATGATCATGTATATAGGCATCACGTCCGCGACAAGTAGACCGAAACGATTCTGCATCTACTACTATTACTCCACACATCGACCGCTATCCAGCATGCATCTAGAGTATTAAGTTCATAAGAACAGAGTAATACTTTAAGTAAGATGACATGATGTAGAGGGATAAACTCATGCAATATGATATAAACCCCATCTTTTTATCCTCGATGGCAACAATACAATACGTGTCGGTTCCCTTTCTGTCACTGGGATCGAGCACCGCAAGATTGAACCCAAAGCTAAGCACTTCTCCCATTGCAACAAAGATCAATCTAGTAGGCCAAACCAAACTGATAATTCGAAGAGACTTGCAAAGATAAACCAATCACACATAAAAGAATTCAGAGAAGATTCAAATATTGTTCATAGATAAACTGGATCATAAACCAACAATTCATCGGATCTCAACAAACACACCGCAAAAGAAGATTACATCGAATAGATCTCCAAGAAGATCGAGGAGAACTTTGTATTGAGATCCAAAGAGAGAGAAGAAGCCATCTAGCTAATAACTATGGACCCATAGGTCTGAAATAAACTACTCACGCATCACCAGAGAGGCCATGGAGTTGATGTAGAGGCCCTCCGTGATCAATGCCCCCTCCGGCGGGGCTCCGGAAAAGGCCCCAAGATGGGATCTCTTGGGTACAGAAGGTTGCGCCGGTGGAATTAGGTTTTCGTGGTGCTCCTGGATGTTTTGGGGGTACGTGGATATATATAGGAGGAAGAAGTACGTCGGTGGAGCAACAAGGGGCCCACGAGGGTGGAGGGTGCGCCCAGGGAAGGTAGGCGCGCCCCTGCCTCGTGCCTTCTTCGATCGTTTCTTGACGCCCACTCCAAGTCTCGTGGATCACGTTTGTTGAGAAAATCACGTTCCCGAAGGTTTCATTCCGTTTGGACTCCACTTGATATTCCTTTTCTGCGAAACCCTAAAATAGGCTAAAAAACAGCAATTTGGGCTGGGCCTCCAGTTAGTAGGTTAGTCCCAAAAATGATATAAAAGTGTAAAATAAAGCCCATTAACATCCAAAATAGATAATATAATAGCATGGAGCAATCAAAAATTATAGATGCGTTAGAGATGTATCAACCAGCTGATACGGCTCAAGTGGCGTTGAGACGATTTTTGGGTTGGCCTGATCTTTCACCACGCGCCAACTGTTGTACTAGCAGAAGCAATCTTGTAGGAAAAAGAAAACGCAATGGATCTTGTTGGAAGCGGAAAAGATTGTGGATGTGTACGTGGAGGAGACTAGTAGTAGACTAGATGGATGGATGGATTGTAGAGATGAACAACGGCTGGAAGATGTACGTGGTAGTAGTAGTACTAGTATAGATGCAGAGGATTAAGCTAATAGCTATTAGCGGCTGCGACGATGTCGGAGTAATTAGCACATGGATAATAAGCACTAGTAGAAGTATATGGAGAATAATAGGAAGCTAGATCGACCCTTGTAGATCAAGAATCAAACCGAGACTTGCGCCTTGACGATCGACGTCGCCCAAACACATCACTACAAAAAAAAGACACGTCCGTGACATTTTGGGCCGAACGAATTTTTTTCTGTCATACATATGACACTTCTATGACGATAATTGTGACAAAACCCTGTATCATCATAGATGTGGTGGGCTCCTACTTCGATGACAAAAAATCATGACAGAAAATGGGCTTTTCGTCCTGGGCGGGCCGGAGACGCAGCTACATGACATTCTTTGGGCCGTCCATGACGGAAAAAACCATGGTAGAAGCGAGGGGGAGGAAAATTTCGGGGAGTTCCCGGTTACGGTGGGAGGTCGGGGGCCGAGCGATGCGCGTTTCTCTCATACACGTACGCGCGTGTGTGCGAGGCGTTGCTCTAACTGAGCCCGGGCAAGGCGTTGGGATCTAACTGAACCCGAGCGATTGCACTGTAGGCTACGCGTTACTGAACCCGAGTGATCGATCGATGGCTGTTAACTGAACCCGATCGAGCGATTCCGTCGCTACTGCTGCTAACTGAAGCCGATCGATGCTGCCTCTGGATGAATAGTGAGCGTTGCGGGGGGGGGTGGATGAACAGTTCCCGGCGGGGGTGGATGAACAGGACCCCGTGGTGTTGCCTCTGGATGAACAGGACCCCGATCGATCGAGCCGGTTGGGACTGGATGAACATGACCCCGTGGAGGGCTGGATGAACAGGACCACCCCGTGGAGGGCAGGATGAACGGTAGATGGTGGAGGGCAGGATGAACAATAGCCCATGGAGGGGTGGTTGAACAGGAGCCCATGGAGAGGGCTGGTTGAACAGTAGCCGGTGGAGTAGCGCACGGTGGAGGCTGGATGAACAGGAGCCCGTGGATGAACAGTCGCAGGTGGAGGCTGGAGGAGGTCGACGGTGGATGACCAGTAGCTCGTGGAGGCTGGAGGGGGTCGACGGTGGAGATGAAGAGTATCTCGTGGAGTCCCGTTTTGCGGTACGCCACACCCCTCCCGATGAAGAGGACCCCGTTTCGACCGTAGGAGGTCCGTTTCGTCCGTTTTGTTGTACGCCACACCCCTCCCGATGAACAGGACCCCCGTTTCAACCGTAGGAGGTCCGTTTCCTCCGTTTTGCGGTACGCCAGACCCCTCCGGATCAACAGGATCCCGTTTCGAATGTGGCTGGTCGAACACAAGGCCGTTTCCTCCGTTCTGCGGTACGCCAAGCCTTGTTTCCATCGCCTGTTCCGTCCAAGCCCTCCCGATGAATACGATGCATTCCGTTGCCTCCTCATGAACACGACACATTCCGTTTCCTCCCCATGAACACGACGATGACGCTGTTTCTCCGTTCCGACCCAGCCATGTACACGAGCCCTGGCCGTACGTATGCGCGAGTAGGCTTTCGAGACCCCACCCGTATGTACACATACGTGGTCGTATTTTCTTTCTTGCACCCTGGCCGCTGTACGTACGCGTAAATGCTATGTGCGCGCCTCTACTACGACATGTGCGCGCCTCTACATCGACCAGTATGTACGTACACGTTCGAGACCAGAATGACAACGCTACGTGCGCTTCGACCAGGTGGGTCTCGACTGTCAGGCACTTCCTTGCGTGCGAAGATGTAGCTGGTGGGTCCTAGCAGTCAGGGGGCGAATCTTTTTTTTTTGCCCGGACGCACTTCCTTGCGTGCGAAGATGTAGCTGGTGGGTCCCAGCAGTCAGGGGGAAACGTTTTTTTCGCAAAATACAGTGGCCCCTCCGATGGGTCCTAGCTGTCAGGTGGAGGAATCATTATTTTCCACGTAATAAGGAGGCACTTCCTTGCTGCGGCCCTGGACCCAGCTGTCAGCCTCTCCACGTACAGTCCACGTCCGATGGAAGTCGTTCCTTGACCACGTTGACCACGCCGCGCCGAGAGCACCAGGGCGGTGGACGACGGTGAGGCCTAGGAAGGGGAAGACACGGAGGCAGGGAAGACTCGGCAGTTGTTTCCCACGCGTAGGGGAGTACGACTGTACAAGGGTTTACTGATTCGTCTGCCATCGCCGGATAATAACAGTAGGTGTGGGTGAGTAGAGGGATGGCTAGGCCAGCAATGGGAGTACGGTCGGGCGGTGAGGCCTGCGCGGTAGCACAGCCGGCCGTGAGGAGGAGGGAGCAGGCAGTCCCACCGGCGCTTGTTTGAGCGGCTGGAGCAGGAAGAGCAGAGATTGAAGAAGCACGACGGCCGTTGGATGGACATCCAACAGTCAGTGCTTGTGCGTCAACCTTTTTTTAGGAAAGCCTCAAATCTGTGGAAAACAGCATACAACCCATCTGCCATTATTTCTAATAATTTATAGCCCATTTGCTAATTCTTAAGGTTTTTTTGGAGCCCATATTCTTTTTGTTAGCATTACAGCCCATATTGTGGCAACGGTTAAAAAATTATACGAAATTTTGCATATTTTGGTGCGGTCCGAACTGTTTTTAATCCTGAAATTTCGACTCACATTCAAACTGATTTTAAAAATAAATGTACATCAATATAAAATCCAACAAATTCTCCACGCATAAAAATTAATGTAATTTAAAATCTTGAAATGAAAAAAAAGATATCTGAAACTAATTGTCATTTTGATGTGTTTTAAAAATGTACAACCCATTGCTCATTACTTATGGGCCATTTTCTCGGCCAGCCGAATGAAAGCTCTCCTCGTCTTGAAAGATTTGCAGCCCAACAGGCCTGACAGAGCGACTTACTTGGCAAATCACAAAAAACTGGGCTGTGGCCATGGACCCAGCCGTCAGCCTCTCCACGTATAGTACTCTTCCGATGGAAATCGTTCCTTGACCACGTTGACCACGCCGCGCGGAGAGCACCACGACGGTGGACGACGGCGAGGCCTAGGAAGGGGACGATGTGGCAGTGGAAGCCCGCGCGGAGAGGACTACGAGGGTTCACTGGTTCGGCTGCGGTGTGAGGCTGCCGTCGCCGCAGGGCCTGGCCAACGGTGGGAATAGTAGGGGCGGTGAGGCCTCCGTGGTAGCACAGCCGGCCACGGGAGGCAGGAGCATGCGGCACCACCGGCGCTGCTTTGGGCGGCTGGAGCAAGAAGACCAGAGGTTGAAGAAGCACTACGGCCGTTGGATGGACATCGTACGGTCACTGGAGATAGAATCATTCATATTGACTAAAGTTGACAAAGGCCCCCGTCCCAGTCAACTTAGTAGGCCCACAAGTCAGCCTCCCACCATGGTGGGTCCCACCAAGCAGGGGGAGTATTCATTTTTTGTGTGTAATAAGGAGGCACTTCCAATGGGTCCGAGCTAACAGCGGGGGGAGCGTTTTTTTCAAGAAATACGCTGGCCCGTCCGGTGGGTCCGAGCAGTCAGGGGGGAAACGTTTTTTTCGCGAAATAAGGTGGCCCGTCCGGTGGGTCCCTGCTGTAAGGTGGAGGAATAATTATTTTGCGCGTAATAAGGAGGCACTTCCTTGCGGCCGCCTGGACCCAGCTGTCAGCCTCTCCACGTACAGTACTCTTCCAATGGAAGTCGGTCGTTGACCACGTTGACCACGTCGCGCCGAGAGCACCAGGGCAGTGGTCTGGACGACGGCGAGGCCTAGGAAGGGGATGACGTGGAGCCGGGGAAGACGCAGCAGTGGAAGCCCGCACAGAGAGGAGTACGAGGGTTCACTGGTTCGGCTGCGGTGTGAGGCTGCCGTCGCCGCAGAATAACAGAGGGTGTGGGTGAGTGGAGGGTTGGCCTGGCCAGCGGTGGGAGTAGTATGGGGGCGGTGAGGCCTCCGCGGCAGCACAACCGGCCACGGGAGGCAGGAGCAGGAGGCACGACCGGCGCTGCTTTGGGCGGCTGGACCAAGAAGACCAGAGGTTGAAGAAGCAGTACGACCGTTGGATGGACATCGTACGGTCACTGAAGCTAGAAACATTTATTATTGACTAAGTTAACAAAGCCCTTGGTACGCTCCAACTTAGTAGGCCCATAGGTCAGCCTCCGAAACGGTGCGCCCCAGATGTCAGGGGGAGGAATCATTTTTTGGGAGGCCGAAGCTAAGAATATCCGAGATTGAAGAAGAAGCACGACATCCGTTGGATAGACATCCAAAGGCCACTGCTGCTAGAACCGTGTGTTGACTATAATAAGTTGGCAAAGCCTTGCATACGCGTCAACTTATTTTTTTAGGGGACGCGTCACTTAGTAGGCCCACAAGTGTGTGGCAGAGAACTTATAGCCCATTTGCGTTTTGTAAGAATGTACAACCCATTTTGGAATTCTAATGGAATTTACAACAACCCATTTATTATAAAATAATTTCGTGTTTGGTGCATTTTTTTATAGTTACTGCCCAGTTTTTATAATTACACCCCATTTATTATTACTTTTAAAGCCCATTTTCCTGTTAAGCCTAATGCATCCCTCCTAGGAAAGATTTGCAGCCCAGCAGGGCGTAGAATAACAAGTTGACCTTGCTTGGGTATTCCTCAAAAAGGCGTATAGCTGGGCTAGCCATTTTCATCTTGAAAAAATTAGTATCTGGGCTGGATATCTGGCCTAGGTTAGACGGGCCACAGCCCACCCAGTTAATACCCTGCTCTCCTCTGAACAACAACGAAATCATCGCCAAGAAAAACTCTGCAGTGCTCACACCTAAAATACACAAATACTGCTCGAACTGCTTGGTCCCAGCTGTCAGCCGCACCTTGTGCAATTCTCTCGTTTATATTGACTACATAGGTTGACAATGGTGTGGGACCGTGATGTCACGAAACCAAGAGAAAGCAAAAAAAATAGTTGTACATAATAAGGAGGCACTTGCGTACGTACGGCTATGGCCCTAGTGGGTCCCTAGTGTCATCCAGTCAAAATAAAGTCATCTCCTGAATCCTCATGTTCGTTGACGATGTTAACAATGCTCGGCGCCACGGCGAGCGCAACAACTCGAAGGACAACGGAGAGGGCCTCGCGGGACCTATGGATGGTCTGATACAGCGCCCGCTACTCATTCACGAAGCCAGGATCATCAGACACCTATGAGCACCTTCGAGAAACTGAGACGACATGAAACGGTAAGGCCGCGCTTGGGAGATCTGGTTTATTTCAAACCTGTATTAACATACAAGTGTAATTTACTAGTCATCAAAAACAACGCGTAAAATACAGGTGTAATGAAACCAAGGGCCCGAGGTCTGTAAGTAAAACTGGCGGGTTACGCGTGTAATTTGAGAGACCAGTGTATATTTTACGAGCACTGCTATATGGACGACATTACTAGACGATACATGCACGACGTGCGTATCATGCCATCCATGGGCAAGGCTGAAACAACAGCTAACGGCTGGATTAGCAATCGTCCAAGTGTCGTTCAGCGTTTTTATCGTGTGTCAAGTACTTCCGATATTTTACTAGTCGAAATCGACCAACCAAGCGCCTTCGGCCGAGACCATCTGCTTTAATTTACAAGCGTCAGTTTTACAAGCGGTTTTGGTTGGAAAACGACGATCCAATCACGGCCTAATATCATGAGTTGGTCGGAAGATCATATGGTTTCACGTCTAACCTACCCGACTTGTCATATAGGCTATGAATGAAACATCAGATGATGAACTTCTTAAGCACGGAAACAACAAAAGAGGATGATCTTCTTGCCAAGCAAATCACTAGCATTAGATCGACATGCAAAACAATACGAAGCATTATTCTCAGGAGGCACGGTGAACAGCTCGTGATGCCGCATGCCACAACATTCCAAGCTCAACTTTGCAATCAAACACAAGGCCTGCCATTACATAGACAATATTCAGAACAAACTCTTAACACAGGAATATCTCAGCAGAGTAACTATTTACTTCTAAACTGAACACATGAATAGAAAAAAACACTCGACGCTGCTCACAGGAAGGGCGTCCCACTCAAAAATATCAAATGCATGTCTTCTGGATAACATCAATGAGCAAATTTTGACAAGGTTTTCCAATTCCAATATATTAAACTAACGTCTTCTTGCTAACATCAATGATTAAACTTTGACAAGCTTTTCCCATTCAAAATATGTAATGCCTATGATCGTGGAGTCCTGTCATAGCTTTTGTACTTGTTTGGGCACTTTTTGCCCAGGGCACTCCACGTATTGTTAAATTGCCAATGGTCTCTACAGACTAGTCATGTCACCGGTGTCTAATAATACTCTGTAAAGCTTCTCGGTCATTCCTTCTGTAATGCAGCGCAAACAGTGACTGCTTCTTTCTGCAAAGTGGAACGACCAACTAGACCCAGTAATGCAGCAGTTTGCCTTACACATTGGCTCCTTTTGTGCAGTTCAACTAAAATCGAAGTCGGAATAAAACCGAGCTTTAATTTTGATATCCCTGTAAGCAACAATAGGTATAAGGGAAACAATTACTAAGAAATAATGGTTGATGACTTGTACTCCCGGAAGAAAAGCATCTACTGATCTACTTTATCTTAATGGGAAACAAAGCAGGAGAGTAGCAATTCTCCATCAGTGTGATTCATTCATATTGACTGAGACATTATCAACAATGCCTTGTTTCAACATGTATAAAGAACGGCAAAGCTTATAAAGGAGGTGATGCTGAATTTGTTGTAACAAAGCAACAAGCATCATGTCTGGATTGGTCCCATTTTTGTTCACTACTTAATGGGAAAAGACAGCAATACAATAGCTTCAATTCATCATTTATTTAAAACAGTACCAATACAAGTAGCACAGCATCTCAAAACACACTGCACGATCATGTGGATGAAGGCCTGTACTGACCTTTCATGAGACGACCAACATAAAATATGAATCTACCAACACGAATAGGAAATCCAATCAAGTTTTGTGCAGTTGCACTGAAATCAAGAAAAGTTGCCAGTGTGACATTTAAGTTTTCTATAGCAACAAGTTGAATAGATATCCCTGTTTTAAGAGGCAAAAAAGAAAACAATTACTGGTCAATAAAGGAGGATGAAACATGCAGCCACGAAAAGAAGCATCTACCTTATCTTAATGGAAAACAAAGTATAGGATAGTAGCATTTCTAAAACGGTTGCATTGATTCATATTAACAGAGAAATTCTTTTAAAACAGATCAGTAGTTAATTCTGAGATTAACAACAGCAAAATAGCTGTATGGGACTTGCCACACCATGTGCGTCCACACGTATAAATGGGTGATGCAGAGTATGTAGCCAAGCAGCATATATGCGCTGGTCCCATATTTGTTCTCTTTGAACCTTCTTCCTATGTGAGGGCAGCAAATCTAGTCGTGCACAAACTACCCGGCCCCCCAGTTTCTTTCCCTTTTCAAAAAAGAGATCAGTTCCTTACAGATGTGTGTACTGGGTTACCCCCTTTTTCCCTTTTCGACCTACAAAGCTGCTGGATAGCCAGTCTATACTACTTTCCGCCCCTCCTTTCCTCATTGAACCACGTCCTAGATTCTTGCTCTAGCCCACCGCACCCTTCATTCCTCTTTGAACCAAGACCTAGATTCGACTACAGATCGAAAAAGATCCACATGCAGCTAGAGCAACGATGGTTTCAAAGAAACTTATACCTTAGGGTCGTCGAGATGTGGCAAGGCGTGCGGCGGGAGGCCGGATCTGCCCACACTAAGTACGACAACGAGGAAGAAGGGGTCGGTGGCCCTCCCGCACAGGCGCTGGGTGAAAGAGAACAACGCAGCCGACAGTGGATTGCCTCCCACGCTGAAGGCGATAAAGTGAACGCTGCACCTCCTCCCCTTCCCGGTGCGACGGGATACGGACGCCTCCTTCACTAGCTATGAGGGGGGAGAGAGAGAGACAAGAGGCCAATGCAGTCTTGTTTAGATCTGGTGAAGAGAGGGTGAGAGACTATGAATATAGCAAACCCTAGTAAATGTATGTAGACTCATTTTAGTGCTAGGTACCTCCGTATCTAGACAAATCTAAGACAAGTAATTCGGAACGGAGGGAGTAACATATATGTAGTGCGGCGAGCGTGTGGAGAGTGCAAACCCTAGCGAACAAGCGATGAGGCTCCCGCTTATATATATACTACTGTAGTATGGACTGACCTCCGGTGCCTTCACTGCACCTGCTTTTGGCTGTATGACAGGTGAGCCAGCCACATTTTGGGCCCACCTGTCGTAAAACCCTAGCGAAAATTGCACCAACGTGAAAGACGACTGCGTCTCCAACGCAACTAAGGTGAACTGATGAAGGATATCATCTTTGTGTGTAACAAGCAAAGAGCACTGATGGAAGATAGCTTGTTTTTCGTTGAAAATCGATCAGCTTCACCAGCCGACGCAACCATGAGGCGCAACCATGAGCATCGATAGGTCATCATGGTGATGCATCATCCATTTGGCATCAAGTTTGGGTGAGGCACCTAAGAAGTTCGACAAATCCTCACTGTGGTCTGTTTCTTCTTAGTAATCAAGCTCGATGAAGAAAGAACCACGTGGTAGAGGACAGTGAGGTGGAACAACAATGGCCATCCAATTTTGTGCAGTTCCACTAAAATTGAGGAAGACATGCCCGGGTATGGAGAACGCATCGCTGTTTCCAAAAATATATAAAAAAGGGTTAGCAACGACATCTCAATTGTCAATAAGAATTAATGAAAATTACACCAACAAACAGAAGCACCATAATTATCTTGATGGGAACTAAACCAGGATACCCGAGAAAAAAAGCATTTCTTCATTTAACCAGTGATAGTACTACCACCATATGGACAATGACCGCACAACCACCATGTACTTATTGTCGAAACAACATGTATACC